TGGCTTACATCTGTAATCCTAGAGCTCTGGGAGGCTGAGGCAGGTGTATCACTTGAACTAAGGAGTTCAAGACCAGCCTGAGCAAAGTAGGACCCCATCTCTACTGAACATAGAAAAATTAGCTGGGTGTTGGTACAGGCGCCTGTAGGCCCAGCTACCCAGGAGACTAAAGTAAAAGAATTGCTTGAGCCCACGAGTTTGAGGTTGCTATGAGGTCTAACTCCATTGCACTGTAGCCAGGGTGACAGAGTGAGACTCTGACTCAAGAAAAAAAAAAAAAAGAAAAAGTAGGGTAGTATGAACCTTCATTTGGGTGACATTTGTACCTTATTTTATTTCTTTGTTTTGTTTTGTTTTTGAGATAGACTCTCATTTTGTCACCCTTGATAGATGCTGTAGTGTCACAGCTCATAGCAACCTCAAACTCTTGGGCTCAAGCGATTCTCCTGCCTCAGCCTCCCAAGTAGCTGGGAGTACAGGCGCCTGCCACAATATCCAGCTATTTTTTTAGAGAAGGGAGCGGTCTCGATCTTGCTCAGGCTGGTCTCAAACTCCTGAGCTCAGCAATCCACCTGCCTTGGCCTCCTAGTGTGCTGGGATTACAGGTGTGAGCCACCCCACTAGGCCCCCTGCTGTTTCTTTCTTGAGACCCATCAGTTCTCACACACTTTGCCATCACTTTGTCAATCCATTTCTCCTTTGGTGCTTGTATTTCTGCTTTCTGTTCTTCCTTCATGGCTGGAATTAGTTTTTCAAGTGTTTTTATTTTTTAATTCATGCTATAATTTTGATTTAGAATCTTTGTCTTGTGGCAATATTTTTATGCTGCATTTTCTTTACATACAAGGGAATATTCATGTTCCTCTTCCCCATACACATTTTTTGTTGTTGTTCCTTTAAATTTTTTTTTTCCACATTCAAATTACTTGAATTTTCCTGGAGTAGCAGTTAATAGCAGGTTTTGGTGGAAACTGGGAAAGAGGCCAGGATAGTTCCCTAGATTTCTCCGCTGAAAGATTTCTCCTCTGTTGCTACAGTAATGTGTTGTGCCTTTAAAATATGGCCTTTCTCTGAAGCCGCCCCTTCTGCCTCTCAGAACCTGACTTGGTTTAAGAGGTCACCTGCCTTCAGCCAGGAGCCCTCCTGGCTCATTCTGGCCATAGCTCCTGCCTTCTACCCTCTTCCTTTTAAAAGCGGTGCTTTCTGGGGACTTCTGCAGCTGAGCACCCTGACGCCCCTATTCCCTCCCACCTGACCTACATAGCTGCTAGTCACAGGTGCTTTGGGCCATACTGACCTGTGATTGATTGGTGTGAGTTTCCTCATCCCTTTGTTCCTCTGTGTGATTCAGAAGACAGAAGATTCAGGACTGAGCTGCTGCCTTATTCCTATTGGAAGAGAAGTCATCACCTCCCTAATTTTTCTGTTTGTCATAGTTTCCCAAGGAGCAAGCCACTGCCTACTTGATTTCTGGCTTCAGAACACCAGAGAACCATTTGGAGGAAAACTGTTTTCTAACTTCTGCTCTGAAAACAGCCCTCCTTATGATGATGATTTCCTTCTAACTGTTCTCTTACTTCTTGGGTATAAATAATATATTCATTAATGCCCTGAAAGATTGGAGGGGTGGGGGTTGGGATGGCATGGTGGCCCCTCCAAGCAGGGTCTAGAGCAGTGGTTCTCAACCTTCCTAATGCTGCAATGTATTTTCATTGTTAAAAAGGGGTCTTGTGACCCACAGGTTGAGAACCACTGGTCTAGAGGCTCTGGGTGTTTTTTTTTTTTTTTTTTTCACATTTTGGAGGCATCTGAGTTCCAAGACCAAAAAGCCCACCTCCTCATTTTTATGAACCAGCAGCTAAGGCACAGGGAGGGGGCAGACAGAGATGGGTTCCAGGTCACAGTGCCAATTTGTGGCAGGTCCAGAAGCCATCAGGAGGGACCTGGATTTGAGCCCTGTACCCCATGTTATTTCCTGGCACTGTGACCTCCCTCCCCAGATCCCTCGAGGTTCTCAGAGCCTTGCTGTCTGCTCAAGTTAGCTCACCACATGCAGCTGAACAACACAGGCCCCAGGTTAGAACATTGAGTTAGTCCTGCTTTCCCTGGTATGCAGAAGGGGATCTCCAGGAAAGGAACGTGGCTTGCCTAAGGTCACGCAGTAAGCTGGGCTTTCCAACTCACTGCTCAGACTGAGCCAAGGATAGCCCTGTAGTTCAGCACTTTGAGAATTTTCTTTTCTTTCTTTTTTTTCCTCCTGAGGGAGCTGATGGCAGTTTTCTTTCCTTCTTTCTTTTTTTTAGAGACAGAGTCTTACTTTGTCGCCTTTGGTAGAGTGCCGTGGAGTCACAGCTCACAGTAACCTCTGGGCTTAGGCGATTCTCCTGCCTCAGCCTCCTGAGTAGCTGGGACTACAGGCGCCTGCCATGGCGCCCAGCTATTTGTTTGTTGCAGTTTGGCCTGGGCCTGGTTTGAACCCGCCACCCTCAGTATTTGGGGCCGGGGCCCTACTCACTGAGTCACAGTGCCACCCCATGGCAGTTTTCAAAACACTTACTGTTAATTAATTAACACCCAGTGCCTGAGCCCCCAGGCTGGGCTGGACTGTGCCCTCAAGGCATTCACAGTCTAGAGGGGACACCACCTGCAGGCACACAGATGCACATAGGGCAGGCCAGAGCACCAGGTGAGGGGCAGGGATACTGTCCCCACTGTGGACACACACACACCAGCCCCAGTGCCACTACAGTCCCTAGACAGGTCACTTAATTTTCTGAAAGTTAAAAAGGGGAGCAGGGGCTGGGAATGGCTGAGTAATAATAGCTCCAGCTCTCATTGAGGGGCCAGGCTGAGTTAAGACACTACACTGACCCCAGCAGTCTGGGACAGGACCTGCAGACTCCATTAGAGGGAGAATGCAGCAGGCTCCCCTTCCTCCACTGCTTGTGTGAAGCTTCCCAACCTGTGTCACCCCCACACCCCCAACGCCAAGCCACGCAGTCCCAGTGACTCCGCGTTTCCTCTTCCTGCTGTGGGGGCTCTGGTGCTAATGGGCGTGGGAAGTTGATTCCTCTGGTTGGGGCAGCACATTCTTGGGTGGGGGCCCAGGCCCTCAACAGCAGCTGCACACCAGGGCCCTTTGGTCTTACCAGCCTGCGCTCTGGCACCGTCTTTCCCTTTCTCCTTCCACTGAAGCCCTGCCTTGGGGTGATGTCGTGGGATCAGGGACCAAGAGCGGCATCCCTGTGTCTGCTGACAGGGAGAAGGGAGGGACAGAGACCCCACATTGGGGGCCTGGCCCATGAAAGAGTGTAGATCAGCTGAGGGGCCACAGTTAACAGGCTACCTGGGAGTATCTTCCCTGCTGCAGGGCGGGAAGTGGGGAGCCTGGAAGGAGGAGGAAGCAGCAGGGATGGGCCAAGCTCAGCTGATGGAACCAGGACTCAGGCTGCAGCCGGGAGGCCCATCCATGGGGCCCAGGAGCATACTTTGAGCCTGAGGTCACATGGGTATTGGGCTCTAGCCAAGTTTGCCCCATACACAGTTTCTATTCCTGGGTCTTGGGCTCCAACACCAAATATGGAACAGCCCGAGTCTGGCACTCCCACCTGCGGTCAGATATGGGTTTAGGGGGTGTGTCGTGCCCCCTTCCCCTGCTGGGCCTAGGTCACTCCAATGCTATGGGGCTCTCCCTGTAGCTGGCCAGCCATCCAGCTGTCTGTCCACCCATCGGTGTGGTCCACATTGGGTTAAAAATACTCAGGACCAAAATAGTCCCTCTTTTTGCTAGAGAAAGCTGGGGCGAGGGACACAGTCGTGGTTTACACTACAGCTTTGCTCCCGACCCTGCTGGAGGTACCAGGTACACCCCAACCTGTGACCCCAACTCACCTCACTCATGGCTCAGTCATGGATCTGCTCATTGGTCGATTCACTCCTACTGGTCCCTCACGCACTGGCTCAGTCTTTGCGGGTTCGTCTGTGCATCACTCACCAGTCACGGGTTCCCTCAGTCACTGTTGATCACAGCCTGAGAGCCGAGCACTGCTCTGTCCTAGATGCTGAACAAAACAAACCTGGTGGAGTTGTTGCAGATAGACACCCAAACAAAAAGATGAGCAGCAGAATAGGTGCTGGGGAGAAGAAACTGGAGAGGGGCTAAGAAAGGATGGAAAAGGCCAGGCTCAGTGGCTCATGTCTGTAATCCCAGCACTCTGGGAGGCCAAGGTGGGGTGGATCGCCTGAGCCAGAGCAAGACCCTGTGTCTAAAAACTAGATGGGCATTGTGGAGGGTACCTGTAGTCCCAGCTCCTTGGGAGGCTGAGGCAAGAGGATTTCGTGAGCCCAAGAGTTTGAGGTTGCTGTGAGCTATGATGTTACAGCACTCTCCCAAGGGCAACAAAGTGAAACTTGGTCTCCAAAAAAAGAGTCAGAAGGCAGAGGCAGTGGGAGATGGGGGATGGGACATGGGGTCAGGGTGTAGGGGACACTCGAGGCCTGTGGTCCTGAGCTTCCCACATCACTCAGTATGGGCAGAGGAGTGGCGTGGCTGACGTGTATGTTTAAAGTGTCCCTCTGGCTGCCCAGCAAGGGAGTCGAAGCGTGAGCTGGTCAGTGAGAGTATTGGCAGTGTGCCAGGCCCTGAGCAGGGCACCAGGAGACAAGGTGCAGACCCACGCTTAACACCGCCTCCAAGGTCCAGGGCCGCCTCCACTGCCTCTGTCTGACTCTCCTCACCTCTGGCACTAGACGAGGGTCACTTCACCCAGGAAGCCACCAGGGAGTTCTCATTGATTACATCTTCCCACTGGGCTGAGCAGAGCTGTGTGTCTGATCCTGCCCCTCTCTCCTGGCCAGTGCAGGGTGTGCCCCCTTCTCTCAGTATTCCCTGAGGGGCTGAGCCCCAGGCCTGCCTGCCTGTGTGGCCATTGGAATGAGCGCCCTGACAGCCAGCGGCCTGCCTCACTCTTCTCCCCGTCTTTTGCAGATGGGTCGGCCAGCGCTGCGAGTGCAAGGAAGGGCCGAGCTCTCACTGGCAAAGAACATCGGCTGCTGACCAGTGCGGGTCACCGGGAGGCTGTGGGCTGCCTGGATCCCTGCCTGCCTGAGATGGGTCACCCAGGCTGGTCAGTTACCTGCCAATGCTATCTTCAAGGTCCCCAGCCCCATTGCTATGGCCTAGGCTCCAGGCACCACTATGGAATTTCATCCTCAGGCTATGGATGAAACTGGGGGGGGGGGGGGAACTGGTCCCTCAACCTCTCTCTGCCCAAGCTTCCAGGCCCTTAAGGTAGAAGTGATGCAGCTGTCCTCTGGGATTGCTGAGGGTCAGAGGAAGTGTGACATAGTCACTTAGAAGGCACCGAGTGAAAGGATCGCTATTAATGGTAAATCCAGTTCAAGTCAGTGTGCCCTGAGTCCCTCCAAGGCCCCAGGTACATTCCATGTGTCCTTTGCTCCCAGGCAGGGCAGTCCAGTGGTGAGAGCAGAGGCCCAAGCCAGAGTTCTAACTCCTACCCTGACACTGTGGGACTCTGCATGAGGTATCGAACTTCACTTGGGGCTGGTGATTCCCAGATTTCCACACCATAGGGGGCTGTAGGGTTTTTTTTTTTTTTTTGAGATGGAGCCTCAAGCTATCCCCCTGGGTAGAGTGCCATGGCATCACGCTCACAGCAACCTCCAACTCCTGGGCTCAAGCGAGTCTCCTGCTTCAGCTTCCCAAGTAGCTGGGACTACAGGTGCCCGCCACAACGCCCGGCTATTTTTTGGTTGCAGCTGTCGTTGTTTTGGCAGGCCCGGGCTGGATTCGAACCTGCCACCTTAGGTGTATGTGGCTGGCGCCTTAGCCGCTTGAGCCACAGGCGCCGAGCCGGGCTGTAGGGTTTTAACAAGTCCATGTATGTGAAATTTTGAGAATCCTCTGGCATGTACAGGACGAACATGTTTACTGAATGTGTGAATGACTACAACCCCCAAGTGGCTTCCAGTGTTCTTGTCCTGCAGGGAGCAAGACTGAGGCTCAGAGAGCTCAGGGACCTGCCCCACATCAGGCAGCCAGTTCAGCAGAGCAGGGATTCCAAGCCTCCCAGGCATTCACATGGCCCCACCCTGGAACAAGACCCAAGCATCTCCTTCCAGCCATCCCAGAGGCACCTGGAAGTGTTCCTGGCCAATGAGACCTCACCAAAAGAGAGAGAAGGGCTCGGCACCTGTAGCTCAAGCAGCTAAGACACCAGCCACACACACCAGAGCTGGCGGGTTCAAATCTGGCCTGGGCCTGCCAAACAATAATGACAACTACAACCAAAAAATAGCCAGGTGTTGGGATGTAGTCTCAACTACTTGGGAGGCTGAGGCAAGAGAATCGCTTAGCCCAGGAGTTGGAGATTGCTGTGAGCTGTGATACCATGGCACTCTGCCCAGGGTGATAGCTTGAGGTTCTGTCTTGAAAAAAAAAAAAAAAAAAAAAGAATGAAGGTAAAGAGTACTGGTCAAGGTCATGGACTACAGCACAATCTCCCTGTCCCTTTTCTACTCCACACCCTGTGTCTACACAACCCCAGTCCCAGGCTAGGCCAGTCAGAGGCCAGGTGACCCCATCGTGTGTGGGGCCATGAGCTTTGGACACAGCAGGCATCTCGTGCCCTGGTCAGCATCCTCCCAAGGTGGGAGCCATGCCAGTCCTAGTGAGCCAACACCCAGGTCTGCTGGATCCCCTGACTTCAAGCTGGAAGTCATCAAGGCTGCTTAGCAGATGAGCCCAGGCCTGGTTCATAGAGCTGAGGGGTACATAAGCTGGGCCTCAAGTCACCAGCTGCCAGCCCCAACAGGGGAGCCACACCAGGCTGGAGGCTCCTGGTGTGATCTGGGAGACCATGTCCAAGCCCCCTCAACCTCCTGCTGCACCCACCAACAGGTGGAGGAGGTTGGGCCTTAGCAGGGAGAGTATCCTGTGTACCATATGGCAAAGCCATCGCTTCTAATGGTCCTTGCATGGACCAGCCCTTGCCTGGGCCCATGATAGCTGTGCTGCATGGGGAGTACTGGCCCAGTCCTTGGGGAGCTCACAGTGTGCTTCAGAGGGCAAGAGGGTCCTTGCTTAGACCTTAGTGCATGGCCGCTGTGCTCGCATTTTACAGGTGATCAGCTGGCAGGCTGGGATTCAAACCCAAGCCCATCTGGTCCTGGAGCCTATGGGCTTTGGAAGCCAGTGTTGGCTCTAGCGGATATCTGGAGCATTTTTCTTGTGAGTCACTGGCCTGCCTAAGCGGTGCCACTCATCTCTTACAGACCAGCCAGTTCCTGCTGGAGGCTCCTGGTGTCATCTGGGAGACCATGTCCAAGCACCCCAACCTCCTGCTATGTCTGCTCCGAGCTGTCCCAAGGCAACGAGTCTGTACCTTGTTCATCATCTTCTTCAAGTTCATGTTTTTCATCTCTGTCATGATCTACTGGCATGTTGTGGGAGAGCCCAAGGATCAAGGGCAGCTCTATAACCTGCCTACAGACATCCCCTGCCCCACCTTGGCACCCCCTATCCAGCCCTCCAGCACCCCCACTCCAGGCAACATTTTCTTTCTAGAAACTTCAGACCGGACCAACCCCAACTTTCTGTTCATGTGCTCAGTGGAGTCGGCTGCCAGGACTCACCCTGAATCCCACGTGGTGGTCCTGATGAAGGGGCTGCCCCGCGGCAATGCCTCCCTGCCCCGGAACCTGGGCATCTCACTTCTGGGCTGCTTCCCCAATGTCCAGATGCTCCCGCTGGACCTGGAGGAGTTGTTCCGGGACACACCACTGGCAGCGTGGTATGTAGCTGCGCAGGGGCGGTGGGAGCCCTACTGGCTGCCGGTGCTCTCTGATGCCTCCAGGATCGCGCTCATGTGGAAGTTTGGGGGCATCTACCTGGACACAGACTTCATTGTCCTCAGGAACCTGAGGAACCTGACCAATGCGCTGGGCATCCAGTCCCGTTATGTCCTCAACGGTGCCTTCCTGGCCTTCGAGCGCCAGCACACGTTCATGGAGCTGTGCATGCGCGACTTCGTGGCCCACTACAACGGCTGGATCTGGGGCCACCAGGGCCCACAGCTGTTCACACGGGTCTTCAAGAAGTGGTGTGCCATCCACAGCCTGCAGGAGAGCCGCGCCTGCCGCGGCGTCACCACCCTGCCCACTGAGGCCTTCTACCCCATCCCCTGGCAGAACTGGAAGAAGTACTTTGAGGACATCAGCCCCAAGGAGGTGGTCCAGCTGCTTAATGCCACCTACGCTGTCCACGTGTGGAACAAGAAGAGTCAGGGCACACGCTTCAAAGCCACGTCCAGGGCACTCCTGGCCCAGCTTCACGCCCACTACTGCCCCACGACACACGAGGTCATGAAGATGTACTTGTGAGGAGCTCACCAGGCCACCACTCCACCCACCCCTGATGGAGACAGGTGCCTGCCCCTCTTCTGGGGAGGCGAGATGGCAGGACCTGGGGTGGGGAGTGCGCTGGGGCCACCTAGCTGGGCAGACTGCTGAGGAGTTATTGCAGTAGCCACAGTAGGCCCTGGAGACAGCCCCTCCAAGCCAGAGAGGCTGTGGACACCTTCCTGGCCACTGCCCTGTCTCAGGCCAGTGCTGACAAGTGGTGCCAGAGCCAGCTGGAATGAGCTTGGTGAGTGTCCCAGGCCTCCTAGACCTCAGTACCTCCCAGGTAGTGCAGGGCAGCCAAGTGAAGCCAGGCAGTGGGGGCTGAGCTGCCCTGGAGGGAGCTTAGAGAGCCCAAGCAAAGGGGATAAGGGAGGAGGGGAGAGGCTCCTGGAGGGGAGGAGGCAGCCAGTGGGAGGGCACACACCAGTCCTAGGGAATTTTTCAGATGGAATGAACAGGGGTGGAGGCAGGTGGAGCTGGCTGAGAGCCTTTCCAGAGAGGCCCCTCCTACCCACCTATCCTTTCTGCTTCCAGAGATTCTGCCTACTGGCTTGGGCATCGGAGCATGGAGGTTCTTTTGGCTCAGTAGAAGAATTTTAAAGAACACTCTCCCCCATTATAAAAACAGGAGAATAATAAATATGATAAAAGTGACCTTCTGACATCTAGTGCGTCATAGCTGGTGAAGCGCAGTTGCACGCACAGCCCTTATCAGCTCCATTCTGACGGGGAAGCAGCTGGGGCCACACAACTGGTCCGGAACACCAGGACTCAGGATCCTGCTGGCAGCCCCCTCCCCCTCATGCCCTGGGGATGGGCCCCCCAGCGGTGGGGGTGTGAGGTACCTGTTTTTCTTACCTCACTTTCCAAGGCTCATAAACACCTGCACTCTCACCCCCAGCCCATAATGGAGCCCACTACCAGGGCAGCGGGGAGCCCAGCCAATCCTGGGAGGGGTTCCAGTGGGGGAGGTGTGAGGGCCTGTGGCATTCCTCCAGCCTCACCCTGCATGCCTGGCCAAGATCCCTGGAGAGGCCAGAAGTATCCTGCTGAGCGGCCCCAGGGCTGGGCCAGAGGAAAATTTGCTTCCTCAGGGCCAGGCCCCAGCTGGTTCCCATTTTGGAAGCTGATAGAGGGCTGGGTGTTCCAACCAGGCTGAGAAGCCCTCCCAACAGGGCTGGCTGGGCTGGGGGACCTGCCCGGCACTCTGGAGCCCAGCAGGCTGCTCTTTAGCGGCCCAGCGGGGAGGTAGCCAGCACCCCCTTGGACCCTGCCTGAAGACCATCTTTGGCAGCCTGGTGAGGAGGTGAGTTCTCTGGCTCTCCACATGTTCAAGAGCAGTGACTTTTTTGTGAAAACAATGAATTATAAGTTGAGTATTTCTCCAGCCACATCATTTCACCTATCTTTAAAAATTTTTGTTTAAAATGAGCAGGCCTGGCTGGGTACAGGCTCACGCCTATAATCCTAGCACTCTGGGAGGTGAGGCAGATGGATTGCCTAAGATCACAGGTTTCAGACCAGCCTGAGTCAGAGCGAGACCTCATCTCTAAAAATAGCTGGGCGTTGGGACGGGCGCCTGTAGTCCCAGCTACTTGGGAGCCTGAGGCAAGAGAATCGAGTAAGCCCAAGAGTTTGAGGTTGCTGTGAGCTATGACAAAACAGTACTCTATTAAGGTGGACAAAGTGAGACTATCTCAAAGAAAAAAGAAAAAGTAGCCAGGTGTTGTGGCAAGTGCCTATAGTCTCAGCTACTCCAGAAGTTGAGGCAAGAGGAACACTTGAGCCCAAGAGTTTGAGGTTACTATGAGCTATGACGCCATGGCACTCTACCCAGGGCAACAGAGTGACACTCTGTCTCAAAAAATAAATAAATAGGGGTAGCATCTGTGGCTCAATGAGTAGGGCGCCGGCCCCATACACCAAGGTGGCAGGTTTGAACCAAGCCCCAGCCAAACTGCAACAAAAAATAGCCGGGCATTGTGGAGGGCGCCTGTAGTCCCAGCTACTTGTGAGGCTGAGGCAAGAGAATTACCTAAGCCCAGGAGTTGGAGGTTGCTGTGGGCTGTGTGATGCCACGACACTCTATCAAGGGCGATAAAGTGAGCCTCTGTCTCTACAAAAACAAAAACAAAACATAGGCCAGGTGCAGTGGCTCACACCTGTAATTCCAGCACTCTGTGAGGCCGACGAGGCAGGTGGATTGCCTGAACTCGCACATTCCAGACCAGCCTGAGCCAGAGTGAGAGACCTGGCGGCCGCCCCCACCCATGCTGGGTGTTGTGACAGGCACCTGTAGTCCCAGCTACTTGGGAGGCTGAGGCAAGAGAATCGCTTGAGCCTAAGAGTTTCAGGTTGCTGTGAGCTAGAACTCCAAGGCATTCTACCAAGGGCAGCAAAGTAAGACTCTGTCTCAGAAAAACAAACAAAATAATAAAAAAGAATGACCGAGCTTTACTTTAAAATACAAATACTCTATCTAACTGTATAAGCAAGTGAGATGCTCTCTTAGAGTCGTATGATTTGATCATCATCTAGTGAGTGCCTACTGTGTGCCAGTTACAGAGGTGAAACAGACACCCTTCCCTCCCTTCGCCCTAAGCACTTCCGTGGCTCCCTGTTGCCTGTGGAACAAAGCCTGTGCCCAGCATTCAAGGCCCTCCATGATCTTGCTCCACTTCCCTCTCCAGCCTTGAATTTGACACCCCCATCACACTAAACTGCATACTCGCGGCTCCCTTCCCACCCCACAGCAACATGTTGATAGTCTTTATTTTTTTGCGTATTTGCCTGCACTGCCCTTCCCAACTACCTTCACCAACATATTCCTTCTGGTCCTTTCCACAGTGCCAATGCCCCCTCCAGGAAGCCTTCCCTGACTGCCCCTTCTCCAGCCCCAGGGCTCCCAGGCATCCATAATGGTTGGATTCTTGACCTGTCTGCTCAAAGGTCAAGTCCCTATCAGGGTCATTCCTGGAGTTGGGGTTAAGGATGCTCCCCAGGGGCATCCAAGTGGTTATATGGAGTCCTTGAGATACTCCTTTTGGGTCTGGCATAGTGGCTTACATCTGTAATCCAGCACTCTGGGAGGCTGAGGTGGGAGAATCCCTTGAGATCAGGAGTTTAAGACCAACCTGAGCAAGAAGAGTGAGACATCTCTACTAAAAATAGAAAAAATTAGCCGGGCATTGTGGCAGGTGTCTGTAGTCCCAGCTATTCAGGAGGCTGAGACAGGAGGATCATTTTCATTTGAGCCCAGGAATTTGAGATTACTGTGAGCCAGGCTGACATTACGACATTCTAGTCCCAGTAACAAAATGAGGTACTTGTCTCAAAAGAAAAAAGTTCCATTGGTCCATGCAGAGCTCAGGGCCTGGAAGGAACTAGCTCTAGTAAAACAATATAAAAGTGTGATTTTGTAAAGAGAGTTAAGATACAGTAAGATGTACATTCATTGTAGAACAAAACTTGAGCCTCTAAAAAGATGTTCCATCGCTCACATCATCATGAAATGTTTCGCAAGGTTGAACTGTGGCTGGTCTTAGAACTAAGAAGGACTTGTCCCAGGGCTGACATTCACTGGGGTCCCCTACAGGAAGAAGGGCAAAGTCCAGCTAGACACACCTCGAGTAGAACTGCAGCTCTGCCAGGTTCTGGCTATGTGGCCTTACACAAGCCCCCTGATCTCTCTGAGCCTCAGTTTTCCCACCTGTAAAACCTTACAGGATGCCAGGAATGAAGTCCTGTGCTGTCTGTTGCTTGGCCTGGAGCAGAACAGGTAGGAAGTGCCAGGAGGAAGCTGTTGTCTTGACACCAATAGCAAACCCCAAATTCGTTTAGCTTTCAAGTAGCCTTGGGCTACAGAGAAAATGGGAACCTCCCCAGGCCCTGGGGGTGAATCTCAATTGGTCCAAGCTGGTCCTGGTCATTCCACTCCTTTTGCTAGTAATTGGTGTAGAAATGGGCATGTGGTATAATATTATTCCAGCTAATGAGAGTTATGGAAAGTCGGCTGGAAAGGGGGATTTCTGAGAAAATTTTCATAGACACAGGGAGGAAAGTTTCTTCTCTGCCTTTTGCATAAGGGTGTGGTGCTCAGAGCAAGGGGTAGCCCTCTTGAGACCGTGAGGGGACAACGTGAACTCAAAGTCAATTCACTGGATCCATGAAGACAGAAAAATGCCAATGAGCTGCTGAGTTAACCAACCCTGGAGGCACCTTATCACCAGGCTCCTTGTGATATGTGGCAGACGTGGTGGGCTGTCCCCTAGTGGCCCTCTTAGTAACAACAGAACACACTGAGTTTGGGCTGGTCATACAGCCCCCCTGCGGCAGAATACACCCCCCAGCATCCTGGGCAGCTAGCCGTGGGATGTGAGCAAAAGTGATGTATACAACTTCTGGGTCACCTCTACAGGCGCTGGCCTTGGGCACTCTCCCTCCACCCCTTCCCACTAGCTGGAACACAGCAGCAACTGGAGCACTTATTAGACCACATTTTGGGGATGGCAGGTGGCCCCACTGGCCCCAGAGTGCTGGTGTTGGGACTGTAATGTGAGACAGAAATAATCCTGTGCCTTATTTTTTTTTGAGACAGAGCCTCAAGCTGTCCCCTGGGTAGAGTGCTATAGCATCACAGCTTACAGCAACCTCTAACTCCTGGGCTCAAGCGAATCTTCTGCCGCAGCCTCCCAAGTAGCTGGGACCACAGGCGCCTGCCACAACGCTGGCTATTTTTTTGGTTGCAGCCATCATCGTTGTTTGGTGGGCCCTGGCTGGATTCGAACCTGCCACCTTAGCTGTGTGTGGCTGGCGCCTTAGCCACTTGAGCCACAGTTGCCGAACCAATCCTGTGCCTTATTTCAGCCACTCTATGTTGGAGCCTTTTTGTTAACAACAGCTTGCAAAGGTCCTTAACCAATGTGTCATGTGTGACAGTGTCCCCTCATAGTTTCAGCCACTCTTTACTGTTTCTAGCAGCCAGTGTCCTCCTCTCTGATCTTGTTTCTCTCCTTGGAAGCTGGCAGAATCTGGGGCTGGGTTCCAACTTTTGGTGGTGGGTAGGGACTAGGAGGCCGTCCTCCTCTCTGAGCTCACATCCCACACACCACCTGGGTTTCCTCAGCTGCTGCTGTGCCCGCCCACCCCTCCCCACAGTAGCACTGTCCACACCTGTGTTCAGGTGCCCAATCCTTGTCCTGTCCAGTCCCCAACCTCACAGTAGAACTCCCAGCATGCCTTGTACTAGACTGGTCCAAGTTAGGACAGAGGTTTGGAAACAGGCAAAGCACAAAACCAGACTTCCGAAAACATGGTCCTGTTCCACAGATGGAGGACATTGCAATTTAATATTTAAACAAGAAGTTGAATATTGACACACCAGCAAAGAAGAATTAGTTCTGCTACCCTAGAGCAGCTGGGGAGGCAACTTTCCTTCCCTGCTTGCCTGTGCCTGGCTAATGGGAGGACTCACTGAGTAACAGCCCATATGCGGGCCTTGATCCCCTGCCAGGCCACTCAGTGCCCCCTGTAAAGGAGTAAAGGATGGATCTTCATCTTCTTAGTCTTGGCTAAAAACATCTATAAACACAC